AGGCCTTCAGGTGGGAGCTGGGCCCTCCCAGGCTCTGGCCCGCCCCTCCCCCACGTGCCCACCCCACGAGGGAGCTTTGGGGCCGGGCCAGGCTCCTGTGTCCAGAGTGGGCTGCGGCCCCTCCAAGTGCCCAAGCTGAGCCTGTAGGGAAGCCCCCACGTGGCACGCCTCCCACCTAAGGGGCACCTTGCGCCTGGGGTGTTAGCAGCCCCCCACTTCCAGGCCTCCCCACTTCCCACCTGCTCCTCAGAGACTGAAATTACGGGTACCTGAAGGCGGGAGCCTTGAACTTCTGTCTGAAAGGGTTATTCCAGACGCAAGTGTACATTTCTATAAATAGATGCTGTGTATGATCTACACCTACATATATATATATATATATATAAATATCTACGTGGAAGGAGGAAGGCTGGGACACCTGAGGTGCGCACAGGACCTGAGGGTGCAGGGGGCGGGGTCTCTAGCTGGGGGAGGCCCTGGGGAACTCGCTGTTCCGACAAATGCAAAAACCGGCAAAGGCTGGAGGGGCTTTTCTGGCATCGCAGTTTTGTTTTAAAAATTGTACCTGGATCTGTATGTTTGTAAAGCTCTTTATCGACCCCAGAGCCCGTGCCCCTGCCCCTCCCATCACTCCTGGTGTGTAGCCAGCCGCGTGGCAGAGCTTTCAGGCTTACCTTACTAACAGAGGGAAGGTTTGTGCCTCGTTGAGGGTTTGCTGAGGGTGCGTGCAGCCCACGCCCCAGGGTGTGAGCCAGCCCCGCGCTCCCCCAGGGGCCGCGAAGAGCTTGAGATGGTTCCAGTGAGGATGCTTTGTTTCCCTTGGCCTTCTTTTGCAGGAGAGTTAGATTTCTATAGGATTTTTCTTTAGATTTTTTGGGGGGGACTTCAAAGCAAGCTGGTATTTTCATACAAGTTCCTCTAATTGCCACGTGTTCCAGGCGGGGAGGCAGTTTCCAGTGGGGGCCAGCCCTGCACGCAGGTTCAGAAGTTATTAGATGTTACAAGTTTATATATATCTATATATATAATTTATTGAGTTTTTACAAGATGTATTTGCTGTAGATTTAACACTTCTTACGCAATGCTTCTAGACTTTTATAGCCCAGACTGCTACTTTTCAAAGCTGGGGAGAGAAAGCCACAGATTCAGTCTTGTTACTCTGGGTGCCGTTAATGGCCCTGCGTTTGGGCGCTGTCCTCTGCTTGTCAGCGGGCTCGGGCCAGGGTCTGTGTTACCAGGGCCCCCAGCCTTGTGGGGGCCAAAGGTGTCAGCCCAAACTGGCAGAAGTGCTTTCCAAAAATAAAGACATCTGGTTCAGATGTGTGCTCTGTCTCTTGTCTTGGGATCCCCGGCAGCTCCCGTGTCCTCGCTGCCCACCTGGGGTGGGTTCCGTCTTGTGTCCCCGGAGGAGGGAGGGGTCACTAGTTGTTTGGGGCAGGGTCTCCAGAGTGAACTGGCTGCCTGGGTCTCACCCTCTCCAAGGGTTTCCAGCCCAGGTCTCTGGCTCAGATAGGACAAGTCCTGGGCAGAGCCAGGGTGAGGGTGGTCCACTGTGTCCAGCTGCACAGGGCCCCACGCAGGCAGGGCAGAACCTCGGGGTCCCTGGTGGTCTTCATTGCCTTGGTCTAGGGTCCCCAAAGGCAGGGAATGCATGTGACGTGTCTGTGGAAGGGGCAGTGAGACACTAGGGGTGGGTGGTACAAGGAGGAAAGGCTCTGGGCCTCCAACCTCCTGTTTGCCCCGCCCCCCCCACCTTATGGAAGTTGAGGGCCCTGGGGCTCATGTCCAGGTATCTCCCATCACCCCACCCTCTGGCATCTGCCTACCCAGTCAGCTGGGGAGGGGGAGGGTTCTAAGTGGGGCCCCCCCATGAAGCCCCCTGTGTAAGCAAAGCCCTCAGCTGGCCCCCTGATTCAGCTGTCTGGCTCCTGGTTGGCTCCCCTTCCCATCCCAGGCCTGACCCCCCGACCACTGTGGGCCCAACCAGTGCCACCAGCATTCTTCCTCTCCTGCAACTTTGGGCAGGTTCTGCATGCCAGTTCCAGGCTAGCTAGGGCACCAAGGACACAGGGACAGGGTCTGGCCCCATCTGCTCCAGAGTTCACCGCCTGAGGGAGAAGGAAGACAGAGCAGGGTACCCATGCAGCAGTGGTGGGGAGTGAGTCTGGGACAGCTTCCTGGAGGAGGAGACAGCAGGGACCAGGCCATGCGGGGGGACTAGGGTGGATTCAGGGACAGGCCGTCATGCAGACTTTCACATGTCCTCCCTGGAACCCAGCGTTGCCTAGGGCTGAATTTTCCTCTGAGACTTGCCCCTGCTTTGCGACCTGGCGCCCCTCCCTCCTTTGTCCCTCCTCCTGTCTGTCCTGAGAGACTAATCAGCCTCTGGGCGGTGTTAACTTTTACTCTGGCTTCTAAGGACCTCGCCCCTCTTCTTGCTGCGTTCAACTCACCTTACAGGTGAGGGGGTTTCTGGGGCTACTTTCTGTAGAGCCGAGGAGGCTGCTAGGGGCTTGGTCCTGGATACCAGTGCGGCCCAATACCCGGTCCTGCTCAGGGAAGCGCTCTCTGCCCCCAGACCCCTCCAGGGCTGCCGGAGTGTTTGTGTCCAGCGCTCGGGGGCCACGCGGCGACCGTGGCGGGGACGGGAAGGAGGCCAGCGAGGGCCTGGGCCTGGAGGGCGCCGGCGAGGTGCCAGG